AAAAAAAAAAGTTTTCATCTGTCAATATGTTTTATCCAGAACTCCTAAAGTGGAAAAGTTAGTTTCACCTGGTTTAATTTCATAAAAAGTCTTCTTTAAGGAACCTCTCGCTATCCAATTATGATCAATTAATCAACAGATTAATCAACAGATTAATCGATTTGTGAAATAATCATTAGTTGCAGCCGTACTAGAGATATATTTTTGATAAAACTTCTAAAAGGCAGAAAAAGCTGAGATGCTGTAGTACATATAAGTTGAGAGAAAATTTTATACTTTTTTTCAAAAGGAGTTAAAACCGCAAAACCTGAAGTGGTATCTGAAATGCAGTTAATTTTCCATTTAACAGTGCTAGATTAGATATTGTTAAACAGCTACAGCCTTTGCTAAGGCGTAGCAATGTAAAACATGAATAAAATCCAACTTCATACATGTGCAAAAATGTTTTTATATTTAAAGTTTTGTGTATTTATTTTCCTCGTGTGTCTTTTTGTCACTGAATCTTGTATTTTTTTATTTTCAGAAGACAATAGCAGTAAAGCCTTTTATGTCAACATTTCATCATATTCTATTATTTAGTTTTTATTAGTCACAAAATTATCTTTTGCTTATTTAATCTAGAATATTTCATGTATTTAGAGGAACAGCGCTGCAGGAAATGTTAAGCAGCCATTAAATCCTACCTCGGACTTTCCTGCAGGCTTTAACTTCAGGCCCAGTCGACGTCTCTACACTCTCATAGATGTCCACCACTTTCTCCACTCTCTCCTGTACTTTTCCTCTCAGTCCTTTGCTGCATCTCACTTTCATATTCCGGTCAGGGTCCTCGTAAATGTTGAAAGACATGTCAAGATGCACAGAAGCAGATTGTTCCGTTTTTCCTTATCCAGGTCGTCAGAAGTAGTTTCAACTAGAATCCTCCTTCTAGTTTAACTCTGCTAAATCATTGCAGTCATTCCATTTAAATGACCATCTAATTTAAAAATGTTTCTAATATGAAAAACAGTTCTGCAAATAATCAAGACGCTGGTGCTGCTGTCTGAGGTTTTCAGCTGGGTTGCTGTTTCTGTGTCATAATCAGGAAGTGCTAAGATTTTTATCACAGGAGGACATGAAACCACTCAAAGGTTTATTTCTGATCCAGTTTAAAGCTTTAAGTTTAAAAGTTTGAAGCTTCTTCTTTTTTTTTTCTTAAATATGATAAAAACATCTAAATACATAATTACTTTTTATTTTAAAGGAAACATTTCTCCACAGCTGTGTCTGTTAATATTAGAGCAGATTTTCTTAAGATACAAGAGGAAAATACTGCACTTTGTTTGCTCTATTATTGAACCGTTTACATCAAATGAAACGGATAAAAAGTAGATTCAACGAAACATAAAAGTGAACTGTATATTTTGTTTCTCTGAATGATAAAGTAGCAGCACTTAACATCCTTTTACATTATCAGATGTTAACAGGAAATGATGCTTAAGCTTCAAGCATCACCACAAACTTAAAAGTACTGAGTTAAAATTTTCCATGCAGAAATGTTTCATTGTTATTTGAATTAAACGTGACATGTATGATAAGTAAATTAATATTCTTAACCTTAAAGATTTTAGAAAAACCTTTTAACCAGTAGATTAATTGGTTAATAATTTGGCTTTTTCTGTGTTTCCGGTGAAACAATTTATGTGGCCAAAAATTGAAGTTCAGTCACGATTTCAGTCTTTATTTATCAGATAGAACATGATGATCGTGTGCAGGAAACCTCTTGTACTGCTAAAAAATTAACCTTGTGGTTACAGTAAAGTTTGAACATGCATGACAGAGTATAATCTGTTTTAAAATATCATTGGATGTTTTTTTTTATCATATCTGAAGTTCCACTATCTGTATTTCTTATTTCTCATGTTAAAAAATGTATATTTTTCTACTAACTTCTATAAATCAGTTGTAATGAACTAGTTTGTGTTTTTGTTTTAAGAGGAAGAATCTGAATCTGTTTTTCTTTTTTTTTTTTTTTTGCTCTCTTTCATCAGGGGCCTGCAGGTCCTGTTGGAGATGTAGGTGTACCCGGACCTCAAGGACCCCCTGGACCTCAAGGACCAAGTGGTCGCTCCATCATCGGACCCCCAGTAAGCACACCTGACCTGCCATCTGATGGCTTTTTTTATGGTGGCGTTGTACTTTTTAAAACTTGGCTTTGTTGTTTAAAGGGATCCCCAGGAGAGCGAGGGCAGAAAGGAGAAGCAGGTCAACAAGGACAACAGGTAACAGCTTTTTATTCATTCTGGGATTATTATCTTTGCATATCTGGATGTTGAGTCGGCGATGAGACCAGACTGTTTTTTTTTTGTTTTTTTTTGTTTTTTTTATAATGAATTTAATCCTGATAGGAGAGCATTATTACAGGAAAAAACTAAGGGATGCTCTGATCCTGTCATTTTTGGCTAAATGGATAGAAATGAAGATTTTTGGTTATGGATCATCCGATCCTCGCAGACTTACTATTGTAGAGAAGATTTAACTGAATTAATGTTGTTGAATTCTGACTGAATTTCCAATATCTAACCACTGTTAAATCTGGGGACGCTGTTTGTCTGTTGTTGTTTATTTAAGAACCCAATCTGACTGTAGTGTTTATGTTATTTTGCTGAAACATTTATTAAAGTGTTGAAATTTTAAGATTTTCCTTCATGTTTTTTAGGGAGTTCCTGGAAGACCTGGAGCTGTTGGAAGAGAAGGACCTCCAGGACCCAGAGTGAGTCCCATTGTTCTCCAATATGTCATTACTGATACTGTGACACAGATTTTATTTTATTTATTTTATCTTCTGAAGACAATGAGGGGAAAAATATTATTATGATATTAAACACAACTCATGCTTTACTCTCTACTTCCACGTCTCCAGGGACTTCCAGGCAAAGACGGCCCACAGGGCAGACAAGGACCCCCAGGAAACATGGTGGGTCATCATGACGCGTGCATAAAAATTGGCCAGTAGTTTTATTAGTTTTATTAGCTTGATTGAAGTAGCGAATTTTGTGGCTTATAAATAGTTTTATTGGTTTTCTCTCCGTAGACACACAGAATATTTACTTAACAGCAAAAAAAAATTAAATAATTAAATAAAAGATAATTCCTTGAGTGATGTAAACTTATTTAATATGGACCAAATGTATCAGTCAGAATGTAAGTTTGGGGAAGCTTTGTGCTTCAAACATGAAACTAACCTGTTATCTGTCTTTACAGTTTCCTAAGCTTTAGGAGATAATTGTTGAAATAGTTACAGCTTATTTTGCTTTACAAATTTAAACATATTTAATAAGAAAATCCTTGTTATTGGTGGAGAAGAAGGTTCATTGTCGTTGTGCAAAATAGGGAATTTTTATCTCTCAAATTCTCTTCAGCAGTTATAACGTTAAAAACAGTATAAATAGAACTTTAGATAATAAAAAGCAGAAAGAGTCTTTCAGCGCTAAGCTGTTGTGTTAAGTTTCCTTTTTTTCTCCTTAGGGAACTCCAGGAGCTCCGGGAGCCCCTGGAAACACAGGCGCCCAAGGAAAACCCGGAACGCTGGGACCACCGGTGAGTCCGAAGGGTCGCATAGAGTCGTCTCTCCTCATGAACCAATTATATGTGTGCTTTCATCTTTTTCTGCAAGACACTGCTACAATAACAGAGCAATGTGTGCAATAAATATCCAACAGGCAGCAGAGCGAGGTGTCAGTCAGGCTTATCACAGCCTGTCAGGCAGACTTAAACCACAGCAAGGTGACTGACGGCGGGATTAATGTCTTCCTGTCCAGTTGGTCCATGATCCTGTTTGATACGCTGACGGCGTATTGAAAGGCAGACTGAAGGCTGTTTAAACTGACACAAAGGAAGACATCTGAGTTCAGAACATTTAGTGAAAACAAGTTTAACCCATTGTTTTATGCTTAAACTGTAGCGCTGAGTGCTGCAGCTTTTACCAACATGAGTAAAGACTGTTATGGTTCATTAAGGATATTTTATATTATCAATTATATAAGATATAAATAAAGAAATGGGTTTATGATTATTGAATTTGATTTGTCAAACATTAGGCAATAAATCCAACTCAAAATAGGAAAAGTCTGAGGGGATTTACTTGCGTCCTTTGCTGACATTTTGTTACAGTTTGTGGTCTCTGCTTCAACATTTATGTTCGCTTAAGAGAAAGGAAACAACATTTTGATAACGGCGTCAAAGAAGAAGCGAAACTCAGTGGGAGGCGATAAAAGCTGCAGATAAACCAGTTGGCATCCGTTTGATAAAATGTTGTTAAGCATGTAATCATCACTGCATGGGCGAAGCAGAGAGCGCTCATCAGCTCATTACAGCACCACTCGTAAGTTGATGGTCTTAATGAGGACTTAGTGGAGAAAAATATAGAGCAGTGAATATGAGGGGATGCAACAGACTGGAAAGAAATAAACATCTGCAGTTTTTTTTTTGGGGGGGTCCTTTTCATTTGCTTCTAAACATTTAGTTTTAAACAAACTGTTGCATGTTTTTTTTATCTTTTCTTGTATCTATTTAAATGGAATAAATAATGGGTTACACTCTTCTTAGATAAGCCTTACAAGAAATTTATATTTTATTGCAGCAGTTTTAACTTTAGCAAAAAATGCAGCTAAAATCCAACCTTTAAATATAGTTGATTTACTCGTTGGTCAGAAAAATTGTCAATAAATTGTAATAATAACACAATAAAAAAAAAAAATAGCTGGAGCAAATTAAGTGAAAGACATTTTTAGGCTTTTAATAATGACGGCCCGATTAGTTTTCCTTTAAAGGCACAGAAAACATTTGAATTCAATGCGAAGGTAAGAGAAAAACAAAGTAAAAGGCTGCTAGAACTAGAACTGGAGCTCTTTGCTTTCGATATACATTAGATATACATGTTTATTACAAAGTGGTTAAGGTGGCTCTGCTGTGACTCAGCAGACTGCTGTTAAGCATAGTGGTGTTTATATAGAGCTGTAGGTTCGCTTATCCACCAAAATATTTGCTAGAACCCATGGCACCATCAAAAGTTTTACATGATTATTTTGAATAAAAAAATTGTAGACCTAAAGTAAATAGTGTCAACATAGGGAGAAAAGATTGCAGTTTTAAAAGGAAGATATTCATCAAGAATATTTGAAGAAAAAAAATACATATGTGGTTCACAAGATGCAAAATCACTCTTCTTTTAATACTTTCTTTCTTTTGTCACCTAAATCCTCCAGAAAGTGTTGCTGAGCTAAAAAAAAAAGGGAAAAAAGGAGGATTTGGGAAACTCAACAATCTAAATAGACTGGGCAAAGAAACGATGCCTCCATTTAAAACTCTAAAAAGATTAAGAGAAAAATGAATGCTCTTTTGTTTACTAAACTGATTAGAACAGGGAGGCCATTAATTGATTTTATTTGGACAAAGTGTGTTTTAACAAGAGATTTTCATCAGTTCAGCAAATGTTTCGAATTAGAAATCTGATATTTGCAGATTTTCCATCCATAACAGCATCCTGATCATCTCAGACCAAGCTGTTCAATATTGGGAAATGTAGAAATATGTATGTAAACTGACATGACATGAGATGTACTGAGATAAATAAATGTTTCTATCTGCAGCCTGTGATTAGCTGCTCTAAAAGTTCATCATTCATTTGACCTTTTTAATTTTTACCTTTTTTTTTTTTACCAATATGATTAGATGTCATGCAACTGGATAAACTTTCACATTTTTATTGAAGTGAATTTTGTTTCGATTTGCATAAAGTATGAAAAACCTATTAACACTGAGGCCAAGTTTAGTTTATTCATGTTGTTTACAGGTTTCTTTCTTCTAATTTCTTTTTTCCTTTGCAGGGTCCTCCAGGAAGCAAGGGAGAGAAAGGTGAACGGGTGGGTGTCTCTTTACGTAAAGCAGAAACGTCAACTTTGACATTTGCTCTCAATGTTACCGCTTAAAAACTCAATAACACTGAAGATTTTTGTAAAACATTTAAAGTAAAAGAGGTATACATTTTGAAAAGATGCTACACATAAAGTTACGAAACCAAGACCTAAAACAAATCACCTTTTTCATAGCCGACCCTGTGCTGTTTTAAATAACAGTTAAAAAGTGAAATATATTTGATGCTGCAGGAGCAAAGAGGAAGGCATTCATTATCTTCACAGATATGATGCAACACTCACTGATCCTGCACCTCTAATGTCAGATAATTTAACTAAATACGGAAATTTGTTTTCCTTACTGATGATTATCAACACGTGCATAACCTTTTATAAAGGCCAAAGAGATACCTGAGTGAATATGGCACCAGTATTCTTTGTAGTCTTAAATAACAGTAAATAATCTGCACTTTATGTTTACAGGGTGACCTCCAATCAACAGCGTCGGTTCAGGCCATCGCCAGACAAGTCTGTGAGCAGCTGATCCAAAGTAAGTGACTCAAAAATATTGGCCTTGAAATAGGAGCGGAGTTGTTTTTAATATGGATTATCCTAATAGAATCACTGATATTAGGGTTTGTTGCATCTTATTTGAACAGTTTAATAGCACAAAACAAACTATTTGATTGTTATTTACTGTTAAATACTATTTGGTTTAACATCTGTCTGAAAAACTGAAGAATATTTGAAGCAGAAAAATCTTTGGTTTTTAGATTTCAAATGTTTCTTTTGATCCTTTGTTCAACTTTTGTTGCCTGTCTTTAATTTCTCTTATTCGTAATAGTTAAAGTCCAATTTTAAACTTTATAATAAAGTCATAAACTATATGCTTCACACTGAGCTCATTTAAAGGAGAACTGATTCATTATTTATTCATCTTGCCCTAAATTTCTCCTTTTTGACCATTTTCTAGGTCATATGTCTCGCTACAACTCTATCCTGAACCAAGCTCCCAGCCAGCCAGTGTCCATCCGCACAGTCCCTGGACCTCCAGGGGAACCGGGTCGGGTAGGTCCCCCAGGGCCTGCAGGAGAACAGGGACCAGCAGGAAGACCGGGCTTTCCTGGACAGAATGGCCAGAATGGAAACCCAGGAGAAAGAGGTGAAGCAATTGAAGCAGTTTCTTATTTCTTTGTGAAAAAACTAAATAAAAACCATGTTCAACAAATAAAACATAGTAGATTTTGCTAGTTTGTTACAAGCTAGTGTCTAAATGATTATCAAAACTGAGGTCACATGTCGATAAAGAAGTAGATGAACAGTATGTACTCCACCGCTTCCTGTAGATGCATGTTCACCACAAACTAACATAACATTGGAGGCACTTTACTGTTGTCTAAGTCGTCAAGTAATGCTAAATACTTAAATATCTGTTTTACAACAAAGACATTGTTTAAATATCTGTAAATAATTTGGGGTGTTATTAAAATGTTTGTGCATGTTAGGGTTGAGATGTTAAATGGTTAGCTTTAAAAGGCAGAATAAGAATCTTTTGGACCATTTTTTTATTCTTAGAAAATAACTGTTCATTTCTAACTGTTTCCAGGGCAACCAGGAGAAAAGGGGGAGAAGGGATCTCCAGGGGTTGGTGTGCAAGGCCCCAGAGGACCTCCAGGACCTCCTGGTATATAACCTAAAGAATAAATTAACAACAAAAATCTATTTGACTGAGGGCTGTGTTTGGTTTGTGATAATATTGTTTTTGAACCTGCTGAAATGTGTCTTTAACTCTTTTCAGGACCCCAAGGTCAGGGCCGAACTGGCAACCAGGGTGCAACAGGGCGCCCTGGGAATCCTGGAGCTCCTGGTCGGTCTGGAGTTCCTGGACCAGTTGGGCCTCCAGGGCCCCCAGGATACTGTGACCCCAACTCTTGCGTGGGCTACAATGTTGGAGGTACGTAGACTCTACGATGCATGCTGCGCCTTCAGGTGATTTAAATGTCTTAATAGGACAAAGTGTACAACGAAACATGGAAGCATTTCAGTTTCCATGTATTTCTATTTGATTGATGAAAACTTTATTTAAAGTTTTATGTTTAAAAGCTTCCACTGAATTAAAGAATTTGCATTTTATCAAAGCCGACCCTTCCTGTAGCATCATGCATCAATAATGCAGCATCATGCATCAATAATGCAGCATCATGC